TGCAGCTGAACCGCCTGCGCTACCACCCTGCGCATCCTCCATGATTGAATCTCTGACGGACTACAACAGTGGAATGAGTAAAGCACACGGTTTACCAAAAGTAACCACTCCAGAACGAACAGATGGGTTCAGAAGGACTATAATACAAATGAACTTATGAGAGTACCAAGTGTTGCGGACAGTTTGGTGAAAGGTATTCAGACTTTCCAAAATATCTCTGAGACCTGTTGCATTGAAAACAGGGCTTGGCAAGATCAGTATCGAAACAGTTGCGATTCACAACCGTACGAGTGTGTGGTACAGACCAGAACCAATGTTAAGTGGAAGTTGTACGTAAGCCTCAACAGTTTAAAATCACGGCTGATTTGCACTGAATGTGGTAATAATTTTTGGTGGAGCTGAAATATCTCTTGTGCGCAGCTCTCTGTCGCTATTTCGGTGCTTCAGCTTATCTCTTGTACTAATCACGCATCATTTTTCCTTAGCACCTCGCTGTATATAAAATATTGCCGTTTCATTGGAGAAGAATCAATCCCGACCGATTGAGATTTCTTTTGCACTTGAGTCGAGACCCTTCAATTGCAGCCACGATTCCCGTTATCCTGAGCGGAATATCGAATCTCAGCATAGTTGATCAAAGAGGCCAAAGTAATCTTATGTTGTAGTTTTGTATGTAAGGTTTGCCTTGAGCTTCAATGCTGCCAATGAAGTTGTACGTCTCAATAAGAATCCTTCCCTACCATGAGAGTTGGAATCAGGTGGGTAACACTGGTTTGGTTCAGTATACAAGACATAATTTAGGATGTTTGCCTACTCAACCCCGCCCTGATGATGTCAGCTCAACTGGCGATGAAACTTTTGCAATCCAAGTGCCACGCTTGGCGAGCAAACCAACAACCAAGTTTGCGTGCACTAAAGGATCACAACTTTTCTGCTATTACAGACGTCTCAGGAGTGACCCAGCTAGCTTCTGCCACCCTCATTACTGGTCCATGCATTTCTCCCGGCTAATACAGTCCCCGTTGGTATAGCGACACACAACTGAGACTAAAGTCAACGACATGGGCAAGTCATGTTCACCCTCAATGGTAATGGAGATAACTGATGAGTTATATTTTGTTTCCATCCACTGATTACTTTCCACCTTTGAATGATGCATCGGTATATATATATATATAATGGATGCTGTAGAAGGTTTCTAATTCTATACTTTTTCTTCGGATTTACACTTTTTGGGAAGTTCCACTATATTCCATAGGGTTTAAGTAGCGGTGAATCACAGCGATTTCATGTCGGCGCACAACGTAGAGAAAAGGCAATCAAAAGTGAAAGACGATTTTAGTTCATAGGTGCTGAATCCTATGAGACGCAACAGCTTGAAAATCGATGTAAACTGTCCATCCAGAGGAGACGAAATCATACGTGGTTTTTAATAGGCGTCACAACTCTCTGAACAGGCGGACGTGTTCATTCATGAGCCTTACGTGTCAGGATTTCAAGCCCTGCAACTTCCAAAAACATTTGCTTCTGATGAAGTATAATATGAGCAAGATTCAAAGCCTTTGCTTTTTGGTTTGATTTAGATCCACCAGGAAAACTGTGCCAGGATCGGACGAGTACTGTTCATCCAAACGACCTGAATGTGAACTTCATCGTCTGTTTGTGTCAAATCTGCCTTGGACGGCTTCTGATTAATCAGTTAAGACTGAATATGTTCACATATTCACTCGCAGTGCTTCAGATATGTCGAGTGTTTACTCTTGGGGTATTGGTGATACACGCGATCCGGATGTCACATATCAGGACTCGGATTGCTGGCTTCCAAAAAGAGTGCCATTCGAGAACAGCGACCCATTCTTTCATGGTGGATCAATTGAAAAACGGAACCAGGACTGCAGAGTGATGAGGTGCATAAAATTTATGCATATTCCACAAAGTTTCACGAATAATCCTAAAGTTTATTCAGCGCAAACTGATTCCGGTTTATTTCCGCGTACTTTAAAACCGGGCTCATGTTACTTTGAAGAAGGAGAGGCACATGGAAAGACAACAGACAGAATACCGCAGTGAGTGGATGATGTACCGACAGGTGTTTTCTCCTGATTCGAACTATCATTTCAGACGACGGAACTAGTTAATCAGTAGTACTGGATGCTTATCCACAAGTTCTAGTCTTTGATTATCATGATCTGATAAGGAGGACTGATATTCTATAGAGTCACTGAGGTTCACATGTATCACATTACCAGGAGGCAATTTTGTTTTCCACTGAAGTATTCGTGAAAACATGTGGTAGGAACATGAATTCATCATCTGAATTTCCTCATTCAGCTGATGAAAAAGGGCAAACAAATATTTTTCTACTTTTTATGTCCAGGTAAATCGCTGAAATGATACTGCTGGATGATCCTTCACAACATCATGTAAAGGACATTGCAACCAGTACATTACATTGTTTCCAACCGTAAATCACACCAACATTAATTTCATCTATTCGACAAACAAACTGAACTTTTCTCATCAGACATGACAGTATCCGAAATGCGGACACTATAGACTGTTCACCCTATTCAGTTGGTCAGGTCCACCAGCAAAAACCAGAGAGTTGTTTCTGACTTTTGTAACAGAGGACTAATTACCAGTGTGCATGCGGGTGTTCAGTTACACATGATTAATCGACCTCCATAGCGCGTACGGTAAATTTACGCTTTCTTCTGTGGGGATAGTCCTTTTTATGGTCTCATTGTGTCCTACAAGAAGGACGGGCAGTACATTCAGTCGATAAGTTGGCTTTAGTTCTTTTGGCACGTAGTCTGTCGACCACCAACCTATCGACTACTCAATAACCATTGCATAGAAAATCTTACATGCGGTTTCTGTGATCGCGATATCTAATAGAACTCAAACACAAGCCTCGTCATTGTCCTTAGTATCGTTTCTCATCCATCTGCTGCTATAAAATCAAGCTATCAAAAATGTAAACGATTGTCACGTTTCATAACGTTTCATCTCATGCAGCAGAGTGAGATTCAAATAAATTACAGCTGTTATGTTCAGCGCACCGAAGCATCGGCGTTGGACACTGACGTTGTGCTGTCCCTGATGGTGATTGTAACGATGGTAGTGATGCTAACGATTCTAGCTTTCTTGGTAAATGAAGCAAGTTTACAAACTCCACTCGGTGAGTTTGGTCACAAAGTGCATCTATAGAATAAGTTTATTCAAAGTGTAGCAACCTGATGATTCCAGCCTAACAGTAGAACCAAGCGCCATTCAGTGAACAACATAGATTGTGAAGAATATACACACATCACCCATCTTAACGCATACAACCAAGCAGTAGGACTACAGAGTAGTAAGACGGGCGGGGGTTTTAACTTTTGAAATACCACGGAATTCAGGCGAAACGCGCTGATGCGACTCTTCCCAACTTGATGCTCAGAACCTACAAAAAATGATGGTCACCTGCCTGCAAAATGGATCGACTACACTGGATGCATTTTGTTTTTACGTCCCTATTCTAAAGTGAATGTTCCTTAACTTGGTTTGCCTTGCATGGATAATGGCAGTAAATGCACACACACATACACACACACCTCCCGGGCGACACCTCCAGATGTCAAAGAAGTGTGGGCAAAGAAGTATGCATATGACGTACGACTAATACATTCATCTGCATACCTGATTCACCTGGAATCCAGCAAAATCTATCGTTTATGATGCTCTTCTTTAACTGAATGTGCTACTGAACGTGCGCTATCTTAGGGTTTTTCGGCAGCCTTATTAGTAATGTATTAGCTCCGTACGGTGCATTAGGATAACTCTAATATCGTACAAAATTAAACATGAGGGGGTCTGGTGCAGATATTCAGTTGATTAAAAGCATCATACACGAGAGTTTCATGTGTCTCCTATCAAAACCGTATCGTTGTGCAGATGAGTGTATAAGCAGAATTTCGCTCAGTTTGGATTCAGGTAAAACTCAGGGTTAACGGAAACTCGGTATTTACTGGTTGATGCGCATAACAAAGGAGGGAAACTACCGTGACTAGAAGTGTTTTGTTGTTTGCCTTAGATGTCCAACAAATCCATCAGATTCCCGGATTTTCATATAAAATTTGTTTAAAACTAACGTACTCGAACAAATGCCATTGTGTTGTTCGTACAGTGGGGGTAGGGCTAATTCAGGTGTGATTTTCGGTTTTTTACAATGACAGAGCAGTTACTGTAGCATAAAATCTAAATACCATATTTTTGTCCATTTGACCACACTGATAGAAATGTGACACTGTCCTGGAGAAACATTTGATGTCATTTTGAAGTGTGGAATTTTAGCAATAAAGTCAAGTTTTGGTATGATCCTACCAACTTCATGACATTCTAAAAAGTTGACTGCAATTACCACGATATTAAGATTATTTGGAGGAGGTATTCGAAGAAAGTTGTTAAGACCATCTTGTGATAAGATGGGTGTTGCCAACTTTGTCTCCATCAGGATGACGGACTTTTGGGTGGACAACGCTCGATTTGGAGAAGGATGTGAGGGATGCTATCAGAAGTCTATGTTCGGTTCGCATGATGGGGTATCGGTGACTTAACTCTTGCTGACTGATAAGCAATTTCACTGGTGCTCCTAATGCCTTGAACTTCAGAATGAGAGTGTGGAGCAAAGGCACCTCGTAGTGATTGTGTAGCTTTACCACTGCGTCCTTTTCTCCCTCAATATCATGTTACACTTCAGGTCTCTTTCCATAAAATTCGAACCGTTTTTCGTACCGCAGCAAAGCAGCATTAGCAATATTGATATTGCTGTCCACGGCAATGCTGACAACAGGT